AGGGGGGAGAGGTCAAGAAAAATTAACATCAACAACGTTAATTTTTTCAATAAATTTAGTTACTTAAAAAAATGAAAATTTGGCAGCGTTTTTAGTCTTGTGTTTTCATTTTATTTTTTTATTTTTCTCAAGGAGAGGGGATAATTAACTGTCGACGTAAATTTATCGGGATGGGGAGAAGGGGAGGGTGAAAGCACTGTGAATTTGACAAGTTATTGTCAAGGGAGAAGGGGAAGTAAAAATTGCCAGGAATTTGTTATCGTAATTAATGGATAACCCCTTAGAAATGAAATGATTATAGAATCTAATTACAAAAAATCTTAAAATTGAATTTGGTCAGAAAACTTACTTATTTGTCGCCACTTTAAATATTGGTCGAACAAGCTTTGTTTTTAATGCAGTATGATAAATCCTTAGATTTAGTACAAACTTAAAATTAAAAAAAATCTATTTATTGACCTACTTTTTTTCGTTCATAGAAAAAATCTCCAGCATGATTTTTATTGTTTTTACAAGTGTAAAACAATTTTTTTCCATTGATGCATTTCAACTTTTTCGAAACAACTACCCCTAAAAAATTTTAAGGTACGGACCTGTATTAGATATCGTTGGTATACAAGAGAAATACACTAAGTCCATTTTGGCATTATAATGTTATTTATATCACTATTTAGTAGTTTAAATTTTCTATCGTTTGATATACCACACAAATTTAATAAATCAATTATTAATGAGTTATGAAGATTTTTTATCTAAACTATTATTTTAACGCAAAAACTTATTTGTTCATTATCTCAAAATGATGTTTTTGGACTTGCATTTTCCTTGTAAACCAACGATATACAAAGTTTAACTCTTTTGATAATCCTTAACTACGTTATTAAAACATGCGTCATTAAAACGTACACATAAGTTACTATGTAATAACTAACACGTTGACTGACAAGACTCAAAGTTTAAACCAAATTCAAAATAAATTTATAAATTAAATTTATAAATTTGTTAAAATATTTTTATTTTAAGTATTATGAACAAGGTAATACAGTTCACTAACATCAACTAGTAATTTGCAGTTATACTAGACTGATTAGCACACTCAGATGAAGGAATATTTAAAATGATTCAGCTGGAAACCAGTTATCCATTATCTAGTTCAAATTTAACATGTTCAGTCAACTTGCTAATACAATAAAAATATTTTTATTGAGGGTTGCATGTGTCCCCTTTATCTGTGTGTCTAGATAAAATGTACCCATTGCCGCTCTCCCTACATCTCTGGGCGGCCCTTTTGCAACCTCATATGGCCACGGTCCTGAAAGGTCACTGAAATAATCATTCAATTATACTTTAATTCCAGAAGCTTCATAAAAGACCTAATAAGAAAGTATTTTGGAGATATTGCGACATTGTAAAGTTTGAAAATATTTTTATTTACGACTAAAATATATTATAAAATATAACTCATAACATAATTTATAATATATTTTTGTAATAATTGAATAATATAATAAAATACAATTACTTGTTTGATAAAATAAACTTAAAATTGATTTTTATCACCTTTTTTGGCACAAATGTTACATTTTTGTGTTTGAACTGCTGTATTGACTATATTTCAACGTTTCCTAAAAGTTGTTTTTGCTTTATTTGATCAATGATATAATAGGTATCAATCTCTTAATCAGACCTTTGTTAACAAATTCTTGCTGATTTAGAGGAACTTAAGTTATTCTGCAGTTTTGGAATATTGCTTGATCTCTTTTTTTTAATGGAGGATTTAATTGTTTATTCACAGTCATTAGTATCATTATTAAAGGTTTCTGGATATTCTAATATATTGAAAGCAATTTCAGATTCTACGTTTCTATTTGAAAAAGGAAGATTATATGCATTACTGTTTGAAGTATTTCCTATATCAAATGTTGATGGATGCACTATTGTTTTGTTTTTGCACAAACAACTTCCCCTTGTGATTTAATCCAAATATCATAAAGTTTTTTTTTATCTTCAGTTAACAAAAGGATTTCACTTGTTTTTTTAATTTAAACATGTTTACAAATTTGACTTGAGTCCATTCCTTATGCATAAGGAATGGGCTGCGGAATGAAAAGTTGAGTTTTTTACACGTAACAGAAAAAAACAATAGTAAGGAAAATTGATAGATTAATTAAAATTAAAATCTGTTACGTGTGGAAAACTCAACTTTTACCACAATTTCATCAGCTATCACTATAATTCTGATATTTCTTAGTTTTTCATCTCTTGCAAGAAACGAATACATTACAATAATTGTCATTTCTTTCGGCATTGTAGAAAAACCATTAAGTTGATCATTGATTGTTGGCAACAATTTTCTGTGTGTGACACGCTTTTAGTATACTGTCAAGTTTTTTCTCAAGGTACCAGAAATATTTCCAACATTTTTTAGGCTCTTCATATATGATATTTTCCAGAAAAGGTAACTTGAAAGTAAACACACTGAAAACAATCACAGACATGCAACAACTAAAAGCGAAAACAAATAATACACCAATGAGCGCATATTAACAAAGAATTAAAATATTCCAAAGAACTAAAACTTGCTCCTTTCTATACTGCCGCACTTCTAACGAAATATTTTAATCTGTGTCCTGGGTGAGATTTTTGTTAAAAAAAAATAAGCAAAAACATTATTTCTATATATCTTATATTGGCAATATTGCTTAACATGAAGTGCTAGAGTACTAGTGATTTAGGTGTTGTAAAAGATCGTAAAAGCCCATGCTTTTGTTTATTTGTAGAAACAAATTATAAATTGTTGAAGAAAAATAATAAGTTAGGCATGTAGTTCGAATAAAGGGGTCAGGGTAAAAACATCCGTTTTTGCTATGCAACAACATCACGAAATCATTGATGCATAATAACATCTGTGAGAAAGATGTAACTACGGATGTAATTACATTTTTCCCGGATGTAATTATATCTTTCTAAAGATGTTATTATACATCAATGAAAGGATGTTAATTCATTAAAGAAAAAAAGCGGATGATCTTGGACAAAAATGTGCAGATGTTATTTCACTACTTCACGGATGTTGTTGTAATCGTATACTCTTTTTTAAAAGAACAACTCTCTTGAGAACAAACAGCTATTTATTATTGGAAGAAACTGATGTAAAAAGGTGCTGTCTGATGCTAAGCTCCATTATTCTCAGTTTACTACATCTCGTACATTATCTCAAAAGTAAGTCTCTAGAGATTTTTGGAAAATCTTCAACGGCAGCATTTACTAGGTTAGATCTAACATTACATTTCTCATTCGTGGAACTGATCTTATTATCTCTCCCAAGGATAAGGCAAAACTAATTGCAAAAATCTTTTCTTTTAATTTGACTCTTGAATCTTATAGCTATTTTCTTCCTTCCATTTAAGTTAAACAGGTTAACCATTGAGGCTAGGGCTGGTGCTCTTGATATATCTAAAGTTTTCAACAACAAATTTCGGCATGCTGGTCTTTTCTATTCTTAAGCTTGCTTTATACGGTGTATCAGGAAAGTTTTTGAGATTATCAATTCATATCTTTTTAACTGTTTTATTAAAGTCATCCTCAAAGGTCATCACCCTTCTTTATTTCCTGCATTTTCCGGGGTAACTCAAGGTTCTATTCTTGGTCCTGTTTTTGTTTCTTATCTGCATTAAAAATCTTCCCAACAACTTTTCATCTAAAGTCTCTGTATGGAATACTGTTGTTATATTCGGGCTGGATCTTCTAATGATGATTTTCTCTTCTCCAAAAACGCATTGTAAACTTGTAACGCATAGTAACGTAAGTCCAAATACGCATTTTGACCCGCTCTATCAGCTAAGTTTGAGGCTCTTTCCCAAAGTTTTAAAATTGTATCTTTTTCCTGTATTTCTTTTATGTAATTCTTTCCAAAAAAGTCTTTCTGGTCTTCCTGAAAAGGTGATGCTGCATGATGATTTTTTAATGTCATACATTATATGACATTAAAAAAATGCAATATACGAAGACAGAGATGGTAATGATGTACTTATACTATTTTATAAAATGAACACAGTTGGTAATGATGTAATTATATGATATAATTACATCATTGCCAACACTGTTTATTTTATCATAAAACATTTATTTTCAATCATGTATCATTTTGTGTGCAATAAATGTAAAAGGCTATTCCATAAAATTTTTATGGAATAGCCTTTTACATTTATTGCACACAAAATGACCTAAAATGATACATGTTTGCAAATAATTGTTTTCAGAATTTAAAAGCAACTTTATTTTTATAATTTCTTAAACTTAAATTAAGTTATTTATTTAGTTTTTAATAAACTTTTTTAAAAGAAATATTTCTTAAAATTATTTATTTAGTTTTTAAATAACTTTTTTAAAAGAAATATTTCTTAAAATTAAAAGTATAATTATTTATAATTATATACTATTTCTTAAAATTAAAAATATAATAATTTGTTTTACATTTGAAATAAAACAGTAAAATATAATTCTCTCCTGATGTACAGATTTAAATCTATACATTTCCTGATGTAAAATTAAAAATATAATAATTTGTTTTACATTTGAAATAAAACAGTATAATATAATTCTCTCCTGATGTACAGATTTAAATCTATACATCTCCTGATGTAAAATTAAAAATATAATAATTTGTTTTACATTTGAAATAAGATGATAAAATATAATTCTCTCCTCATGTATAGATTTAAATCTATACATCTCCTGATGTATAGATTTAAATCTATACATCTTATTATATTTAAATTCAAATGTAAAACAAATTATTTCAAATGTAAAACAAATTATTATGTTTTTAATTTTGTATTATTCATAAAATTTGCAATTTAATTGCAACAATTAAATTGTATGTTTCAATTATTGTGTCTAGTTAATCTAAATGTTTTTGAATGATGACTAATATTTTGCATACTATTGTATGATGTTAGCAGTGGTTTTCAGCTGTTTTTTTTTTTTAATTATTCTAGTTTAATATGGGGTTACATTTGTGACAAATGTGGAACCAAATTATCAATTATTTGGAGTATTGTGGGTCTCATAGTTTCAACATTGATATTTGGGTTTAGTAGCAGTATCACATGGTGTCTTTTATCAAGATTTTTGCAAGGATTTTTTATGGGTATCTTTTGATTAACTTTATCCTACATAAATATTGTGATGTGAAAAGATATAAACTGAATAAAATAATTAAAAATAATTTTTTTTTTCAAAGTTTCTAACTAGTATTACCTCTTAGAAATGTTTCCTAATTTTTTTTTTTTTAATAGTTACTTTAATTTCATATATGTACAATTATTTTCATGATTACTAATTCTGGCAAAACTGATTTAGAACTAATGCAACATTAGAGGTATCAAAAAAACATCTTGATTACAATGTTATACAATTGTTATATAAATATGTTTAAAACTAAGTTGATCTTATGGCATGTTCAAAACTCTTTATCACCTTTGTGCTCTAGATGCACTAATCTCTTCGAATCTGTTAATGATTAGAGTATTGCGCTAGACAAAATTTAACAACAGATGTTGTATATATTGACTTTCAAAAGGCATTTGGTTTCGTATCTTGCCCTAAATTGTTAGCCAAACTTGCTCTATTTAATAGGAGGTAATTTAAAAAATTGGATTGCTGCATTTCTTAACAAAAGAATTCATCAAGTTAAGATTAAAATTTCATTATCAAACGCAACTCACATCATTAGCAGAGTTCCTCAGGGATGCGTGTTAGGCCCAACATTATTTTTATTATATATCAATGATATAACCGCTTTTGTTAACAATCTTGATTGCTCTTTAAAGCTTTATGCCAACAAAACTAAGTTATACAGTTCATTTTCCAATGCGGACCATAGCCCTTGAAAAAACCTTATGAATTAAAAGCTCTCATCGCAATTTCATCCTTTTAAACCAGTTTAATTTACTTTTTATTAAAAAATACAGTTAGTATTTCTTATTTCTATAATCAGTTTTTGTTGTCTTTAATATTGTTTATTATTATTGTTATTAATAAATTATGTTTAATATTTATAATTTCTATAATCAATTTTTGTTGTCTTTAGTTTTGTTTAATATTACTGTTATTAATAAATTATGTTTTATATTTATACTTTCTATAATAATTTTTGTTGTCATTAATATTGGTTATTGATATTTTTAATAAATATTTACATTACTATTATAAACTAATTTTAACTATTATTACTAATTTTAATATTGTTATTATTATTATAGTAATTATTATTTTTATTATTATTAATATTAAATTATTAAAAAATTAATAATTATTATTAATTAATTATTATTAGTGTATTGTTGTTATAATAATTATAATTTTTAATACTATACAACTGAGCAATTATTGAGTAAATTGCTTAACTTTACGTGAATAAAAATTTGAACAAAACTGCTGAAGTTTTTATTCACGTAAAGCTGACCAATTGCTGAGTAAAAGCAATTGCTCATTTTTATTCACCTGGCCCATTGTTATTATTGAATTTGATAGTTGTTTACTTCATATAGTAAATAGGCGGAGTGAATAAAAATGAGCAGTTGCTTTTACTCAGTTATTCGTCAGCTTTACGTGAACAAAAACTTAAGGAGTTTTGCTCAAATTTTTATTCATGTAAAGTTAAGCAATTTACTCAGTAATTGCTTAGCTTTACATGAATAATAATAATAAAAACTTAAACAAAATTGCTGAAGTTTTTATTCTTGAATGATAATAATAAAAACTTAAGCAAAATTGCTGAAGTTTTTATTCTTGAATGATAATAATAAAAACTTAAGCAAAATTGCTGAAGTTTTTATTCAGGTAAAGCTGACCAATTACTGAGTAAAAGCAATTACTTGTTTATATTCGCCAGCCTAATATCCTTGATGTAAAAATTTTTTTCAGAAATATATTTGATTTGATTTGATTTATACATGTACATTACCATTACCAATTGTTCTAGGTAATTAAATAAAAGTTAGATTTTAATATATGTTTTTTATTATTAATTGTTAATTATCATTATTGTTATTATTAATGTTTTATTATTAATTTATTAATTATTAATTTAAATAGTTTTTAGATTTATTTTTTAAATTTAAGTTTTAATTTTTAAAAAATTCAAATCTTTCTTAATTATAGAAGTTCTTATTATAGAAGAAATCAGCTAATTAACATTAATACATTGAAATTTGGTGAATTTATTCTGTGTAAATATGATACGTTTCATTGGATTGGTACGATAAATGAAATTAACAATATTGGGCAAGATGTTATGGTAACATTTATGCACCCGTATGGTCCTTAATAAACTTTTCTGGTCATCTAGAGCAGATTAGTGTTGGGTTCCAATGACCAACATAATTTATATCATTGATGCAGCTGTAACAATCGATCATTGGTGCACCTGTAATAATCGATTGTTGATGCAATGCATCAACAATCGATTATTACAGGTGCACCAATGATGGATTGTTACAGCTGCATCAATGATATAAATTATGTATTTTGTAATGATATAAATTATGTATTTTGTAATGATATAAATTATGTATTATGTAAATTATGCATTTGCATATTGCATCTAAGCAAATCTTTACAAAATCTTGAAACTTTGTATTTTTGTATTTTACTTTGTAAATAATTAAATAAAACAGAACAAGTACAAACCAAAAAATTTTTTTGAAGACAATATTTTTAAAGTTAACTTTACATTATTAAAAATTAAAAAAATTTTTTTTTTTTGAGAAAATAAGTGGGGTATGGCCCCAGTACCGCAAGCCATGGTGCCTCTGGTTGTCTGCCCTGGAAACAATTTTAACACACATTCATCAGGACTACACAAATGCTGAAGTTTTGGAGCTCCAGTTTGTATGGAAAGTAGTAAAAAATCTATGACAAGTCTATCCACTAAAAAGAAGTAGGGCACTTGCCCCAGTCCCCCCTCCCTTCCCTAATATTTTGTTGCCCTAAAAAACAATTTTAATTGTGCATTCATTAACACTACAGAAATGCCAAATTTTTTAGAGCTCATGCTAGTCTGAAAAGTAGTGAAAAATCTATTGCAATATACCACTAAAAAAAAGCGGGAAATGTGCCTCGTTAAAAAAGCGGGAAATGTGCCTATGGATATATGGAAATCCATATACTTGTAGATCAAAATCTTTTTATTTTTTGAAAAATCAATGAATATAGAATAATGTGTAATGTATATTTTTGTTGATATCATCAAGTCCACATGGTTTCTTAAGCATTAAAAACAGGTATAAAAAAATTGCCTAATTTTATTTAAAATGATACTCACTGGTACTTGATAATTTTTTACACTTCTGATCATTTTATTGGATTTGTCACTCTCAAAAATAGCCAGTCAAATTTTTAAGTAAAAAAAATAAATATTTTTAAAGGTATGTGACTTGAAACCTCCAAATAAATGTTGTAATTCTGAGGTGATAAGAGGAGCCTGAGCAATATCTAGCAAAATTAAAACAGTCATTTTTCAGGACCTTCTTGGAGCCAGAGGCCAAACATTTTTTTAAATTCTCATTTTACTTA